GAGGTCGGGTTGTCCTCGAGTTGACTTCGAATTATGCGAGCTCTGCGTAATGACACGCCTTAAGAGGAATTTACAAGCAGAGAATTTACATACACAATTCGGTATTGTCAAAACAACACGACGACATTGATCGCTGAAAAATTGTCCGAAATAAATGCGAGAAATGAATTTTGTTTCTCTCTCTCTCTGTCTTTCTTTCTCCTCTGTTTGTGACGGGCGTGGGATGTGATTATGAAAGAGGCTTTAGAAATTTTCTCACAGCTCGGGTTTTATTAGCCGCAAGCTCGCCGATCGAGAAATGAATCGTAAACCACTCTCGCAATAATTTCTAATGGAAGATACAACGATAGCGTGACATAACCATAACCATTATTGACAAAGTAACAATCTTTAAAGTTGTATTGTAAAAGAACGCAATGTAAAAATTATGATAAAAGAATCGCATTTTTAAATCTTGAGCTGTGCTTTTAATTTCTGCGGATTAGCTCATATTCAGAATACAAATTTTATAAATATAAATTTTTATGTCTGAAATTCCATAGTAATATATGTATAATGTGAACTATATGCTAAATATGCCAAATACAATCAATATTATTATACTGACTGTATTGAGCCCCTTAATTATATTATTATAAAAATATATAAGAAAGCATGACTAAAAAATATATTTCGCTATTTATGACAACAAATAGCTTTATCATTATAATTGAAGAAATTGGAAGATTTAATGCAATAGTTTTAAGCTAAAAAAGTCTCGAGGAATTTCTCTTTCTCCAAGTACGATAAAAATAATTCTCGATTAATTCTTTAAATTTTTGAAAAAATGCATTAGACCAATCAATAATGTAATTGTTAGTAATGTTGTAATTTATATATTTATACATATTAATTAATATAAAATTTTAATTTTGTAATTCTGTTCTCTTTTATAAAATTTTACTTTTTACTTTTAGGACAGAGAATATGAAAAATTACAAAAATTTATTAACGATATTATATTTTTTCTATTTTAGGTTCTAGGTCCGATTTCCGGCTGTCACATAAACCCGGCTGTGTCGGTCGGTCTGTTGGTCAGCGGAAATTGCAGTTTTCTCAAAACCGTTTGTTATACAGTCTGTCAGTGTTGCGGCGCTATAGCGGGTTCCATTGTTCTTAAGGTACATAATAAAAATTCAAAAGTTCATTGTAACACCTGATCCATTCCTTTTTAAAAAATTGAGCAATTTAGTCTATACATACATACATATATATATATATATATATATATATATGATAAATATCCAAATTGATTTCCATATCTCCTAAAAAAATTCTTCAAATAAAAAGAAGAAATACTTAAAAATCGGATAAAATAGCGATTTAAATTTATCTATTATTCTATTAAATCAATTAAGCCATGAAGAAGAGATGATTGTAGCGGCCTTCATCTTTATCATTTAAAATTTAATTCTTTTTTATTTTACTTTTAAAACTAAATGAAATTGTTTAGAATTTAAATCACTGCATAAAGCATCACATTGCATAAATTATATAAAATGCACTCTAAGGTAAGATACGCTTCGTGCGTTTGACATTTAAGCGCGCTTACGTTTCTTACACGCGCGTAATCACAATGATTGTCCAGCCGAAGCGTGAAATTGATCGTTGATAGCCTGTCATTTCGATTTGGCGCGGGACTCCGAAAGTGCCCCGTCTTATTCGTATCAATTAAATCGTCGTTATGCAAGGTCAAGGTTCGCTTCTCCTCCTCCGTACATCCGTTACATCAGAAACTGGTCGTGGTCGAGCCGGTCATCTGGATCGTGCGTGAGGAACAGCAGTGCACGTACGTGCGTGCGTGCCTGATAGTAATTTGCGTATCTTTTATTTCCTAAATTAATTTCAATGAATATATATATAAATATACAATGACAGAACAATAAGATTTAAGCATCAACATGAAAATGAAATATTTAATGTCGATTTATACATATATATATATAAACCGACATTAAATACTTCATTTTCATGTTGATGCTTAAATCTTATTGTTCTGCCATTGTAATCTAATTTATGATAAAGGAGAAATATCTAATTATGAATGGGAGAAAATAGAGAATGATACCTCGTCATTCTTTTGCATCAATTCAACGATTAATTAATGACATATATTAAAGAAAAAAAGTTCGATTGTGAATTATTAATTCAAACGATTGCAAACGATTTAAAATCTGCACATTGCGGGTAATTTTATTTATTTATACATTGATTGCGTTCAGCAGACTCAACAACTAAGTGAGCACTCGTTGTTATTAATGTATTCTTCTAGATCATTTAACCAAACTTTTAATCTCTAAAATTAGAAATCTCTGGAATTAGAGATTAACCTTTAGAATTAGAAAAAGACCAAAATAGTAAGTTGAACCGAGATTAAAGTTAATCTACATTGGTGGAAACGGGCATTAGAGAATTGCAATCTATTAGAAACTACATGCACTGTGGAATACACTGCAGTTTCTGTAGAATAGATTGAAATTCTTATTCTCTATTCTCTATCTATTCTTTTGATGCGCAATCCCTCATTCAACTGTTGGATCCGTTGAACGTATCTTGATAGTCATAAATCAAATTTATTTTTTTTTCCTATCACGATATTCGTCTAATCGAATTGTTCTTTTGTCCAGCTGCTTTTACCTAAGGCGCAAGTCGCCCATGGCCTAGGCGCCACCGCGTTGCACCATGAAGTGACTGACGCTCAGGGTATAGGAGTGGAAATAATCATCACGTTCCTGTTGGTGCTAGTCGTGCATGCCGTTACGGATCCCAAGAGGACCGACGTGAAGGGTTGGGCCCCACTTGCGATCGGTCTGGCGATCGCTGTGGCTCATATGGCGGCGGTGCCCATCACTGGTAGCAGCATGAATCCAGCTAGGAGTTTGGGTCCGGCCGTGGTGGACGACAAGTACAAAGATCTGTGGATCTACTGGGTGGGCCCACTCATCGGCGCCGCTGTGGCCGGTGGCGTGTACAGAATGGGCCTCAGAGCCAATAGAGAGGACGAGGAAGGTTCGTATGACTTTTAAAAGCGACCTCTGAATCTTACGGACACGCAAGATGAGCTCTAACAATAATATCCTGCGAAGATCGAAGATTTCCCGAGTGTAAATAAAGAAGAAATAAAGTAGAATTGTGAGTATAACGGCGTGAAGATCGCGAAACGATTACGTGACCTTCGTTGCATTTAACAAGACCATGTTCGTGAAGAAGTACGATTTGTAGGATAGATTTCTAAGTGGAATTGAACGCTACGAATTAAAGGAGATCGAATTGTTAGATTCGACGAATTCAGGAAGGAAGATTATTTCGATCAAAATTATTCTGTGTAAATCTATTCAATATTTTACCTTTTCCTAATATTCTATTTTATCTGGAAATATATTATTTATATCATTCACATTCAATATCAGATGGTGTTGTCTAGATTTTTATTTTTGTCTAGAGAACAACAGAATTAAACCGGAAAAGGCCACTTAAGCCTATTCTACAATGTATCCTTTGTTTCCTGTTTCTTATTCTTTACTTCTTATTTTTTCCTCCTTTATAACTGTTTTATCGATAATTATATTGCTACGTGTTTCCTGTTTCTTCCGAAGTTCGATAACTTTTATTTTGGACAACATAAAATAAAAAACCGGATAAGAAGCAAAAAGACAAGAAACAGAAAACAAAAAGCTCATTGTAGAATAGGCTTTAAAGAAGAAATATAACGATATTATTTTAAAATACACAACGTATAAAAAATTGCAGAATATTATCTTAATATTATCTTAATATTAATCGGTAATATTATTATTAAATACTATTGCGAAGTAAGAAATGTATATGATGTTATCGCACAATAATTATATTAAATCGATATCCTTCCTTTTTCCACCTTAAGAAATTAGTAACTTAAAAGTATTTACCTAGAACGTGCAAAGAGAGATTTCTTTAATTAATTATTATCAATGTAATATCATCGTGAGACACCGACATAACTCGAAATCATTTATCAATCAACTCTCCTCTCGTGAATTCTACATCCGCTATTTTTGTACATCGTTAATTTGAATTTTGTATATATTATTAACTTAAGATAACTGACGTAGCGATAGTATAACATAGTCTGCGTTTAATTAGTTTACAGTTTATCCATAACGACACGAATGACAGCATTAACAAATATACTCTTTATCGTCAGTATTACCTGCATTTTTATTTTTACAAATTCTCGCTCTACTTCTCGAAATAATAACAGTACTTATATAAGTTTCAAAAGATGCATATCTTTGAAAATTTAAGAAGAGCGAAGTGTAACAGCAAGTGTGATCTAGTTTTAATCTGGTCATCGGTAAAATTACGTTGTTGCTTATGAGAAAGACATTATCGTTTTGTCGCAGCACAAGCATCCACGTTGAATCGAAAGTGTCTCAAAATAGCATATGCTGAAATAGCCGCGCCCAGTTTTCGCTTGTCAGACACGCCATCAGAAACTAGTAACTTCGAGACATCGTTCGGGATTACAAAGTGCGTTCTCCAATTAGTGATTCTAATTAATTTCACATTATCTCTATTCATGATTTTGAAATTAATTCGAGAATTGATCATGAGAAATTAATAAAGATTCGACGGAGAAAAATATAAAGTGTATATTAATAAAAAATATAAAAGTGTATATTATAAGTACTTAATAATAATTACCAAAATAATTCTGAGAATTTTTAATTAATATTAAAAGAAATACTATTCATTTAATTTATTTGAATATTAGAAAATGTGTGTTTCAACTAATAATTCTAATCAATTTTTGTTAAATATCTGCATATTTAATATATAAACTGTATAAATAAATAGATATTAAATCTATAATTAATACTTTTCTTCTTAATTTAATAAAAAAATAAATATATATATTAATATAAATTATATTATCATTTAAATTTATTCAAGTGCTCCAGTATCATTATGTTCAACGTATTTAATTTTTAATTATTGTCACGTATTAATAATAAAGAAAAATATTTAAAATATCATGGGAAATGAGCCGGAAATCAGTGGATTTTTCCGTTCGAATTTATTAGCGGTAAGAAAAGCAATTCGCCAGCAAGATTTCAAGAAATTTTCCGCCTTCGAATCGGATGCTGAGAGGGTAGCTTTTGTTTTGAGTTATACCGAAGCACATGAATTACCACTGGAGATAGAGAAGCCTATGGTCAAAGACCGTGACAGTGCTATTCGATTGAAAGATATCGGAAACAAATTTTTTGGTCGCGGTGAATTCACGAAGGCCTTGGAAACGTATTCGAATGCAGCTCTTTTAGCGCCATCAACAGGTAGATGCATGTAATATTCAATATAAATTATATATTAATTATGTTTATAATTTGTATTTATATAATTATGTTTACGTAATTTAATTTAATTAACCTGCAATTAATATAATTAATACAATATTATGTAACATAATAATTATGTAACATAATAATTTAATAAGAAAATAAAATAATATTCCGGATTTATTATTTATATAATGCGCCTACTATTAAAAAGATTGCCGTCATTTTTTTCGTGTATTTCGGTTTAACTCATCTGAAAATCTTTATCGTGGTTATCTTGGCGTTATTTGATTAATAATTACATCGTTCTCATAATTATCGATCCTGAAAATATAAAATATCTAAATGAATTTAGAATTGAGTATCATTTTGGCAAATCGCTCGGCCACATTGTATCACCTGGAGCGTCATGAATATGCGTTGGAGGACATCGAAGAAGCCTCACTACTCGGTTACTCGAAGGACCTTATATATAAACTTGAAGAGCGACGAGCTAGGTGTTTATTGGGTCTGAAAAGGCACGATGAGGCAATCGAGGCATTTAGGCGGGCTCTCCAGGCCTTGGATGATGCCAGAATACCTTTGAAATGTAGGCAGAAGTTCGAGTCGGACATCAGGATGATGCTCGCGGTGATGGATAAAGGTAAACGACTCAACGAAGCCGCTACAAAGAATCCTTCGCGAATTTTTAACAAGCAAAAGTCCAACGCGCGTTTGGAGGATAGACTTATCCCCAAGAAGGAGAGGAATCCCGTATATCCCGCCTGCAGTAGAGCGGTGGAAATTAAGGATGATGGAGGTGACATAGGTAGACACGCCGTGGCGACCAGGAAGATAATACCTGGCGAAATCGTGATCGTTGAACGACCGCATTGTGCATTTCTGTTAGCAGAGACCAGGTAAATCCAAGCATTATGCTGGATTATATTTTTGGAAATCTACTCGTTACGTTATCCCTTTTCAATATAAAATTTTCATCTTTCGTTCGCAATCTGAATTTTCGAACTTCAATGCAAATTTTTATATTGTTTCGGATTGCATAAAAATAATCTGAAAACATTCTTACATACTTGAGAAAATTTTAATGAATTTATTATATATACTATCACAAAAGTTGGATTGTATTTTACTTATTTTTTACAGATTTAAATTTATCTATTAGAATTCACAATAAAAAATTAACTGCCTTAATTTCAAGTCCAACATTGCCGGCAGAGAGTTATTATAATAATACTTTTATTTATCACACTACTGTTGCTGGTGATTTTGCTACAATTTCCGATTCAGATCCCGCAGAATTAAAGATTTGTGAATTCAAGGTTTCATAGCTATCGTCGAGAGTATAGTTCATCTCGGTTACAAATCACGTAATCTTTTTTTTATTTTGCTATCTTTGGTCCATCATGTTTTTTTATTCTTTCTTTTTCCTCTGTTTATCGCAAATCGCGGTTGCGCGAAATTATGTCACGACTAAAATGTATGCGACATTCGACTTTCAAGGCTCACACATTGCCACTTGTGCTTCGTGAAGATATTCGTGCCAACACCGGCGGCTTGTCGCACCTACAGCTGCGTCGCGTATTGCAGTCGCCGTTGCAGAGATGCGGATGCCCAAGTGCACTCGCAGGAGTGCAAATTGTTACCGGCCCTGTGGTACTCGAAAGCCTCGGTTACGTGTTTCCTGGCCCTAAGGGCGATTACACAGAGACCTTTCGAAGAAGTTATGAGGCTGAAGGAACAGTTTAGGGATCCCGGAAGTGCGTTAAAGATCTCCGCGGAGAATCCATATCGAGGAGACGATTACATAAATACCTTCTACAATTTAGGTAATTGAAAAAATATAAATAATCGTTTTGATTACACAAATATGCATATTTAATCTTATGATTTTTTTACATGTTTTTTTACAGTTTTTTATTGTCGCTAGATTTTTATTTCCTTCGATTAATAATTTGAATTTTTTTTAAGATAATTGATTCTTTTCTTTTTCTTATTAATAAATTCAAATTTATGAATTATTTTCTTTTTTCGAATATTTTATGTTTTATGTCAATAGTTACTCATGAAGACAGAAGATTGCCAGAAGATATTTTTCACAGAGCCTACATGGCAACCTGGTTATTCAGATTGTTAAGATCCAGCAACTACTTGCCGGAAAATGTAAAAACCGCCGATTCAGCGGACAGTAGATTGTCAGATGAGGAATTGTTTATCGCAGGATTGTTATTACACAATTTACAATTATTGCAATTCAACTCCCATGAAGTAAGGACGATCACATAATGTAACATTACAATTCGCTCGATTGTATTTCATTATTATTGCTTTGAAAACGAGCATTATTGTATTTGTCGCAATTACTGCATTGTTTATTTTCTAGATTTCAGAACTGGTAAGACTAAAAGGACAGAAGACACTTACTAAAACCAAAAGTATGTTCATAGGCGGTGGTGTTTATCCTACGGTTGCAATGCTAAATCACTCGTGTAATCCTGGCGTAATTCGGTAAATAATAATAAACATTTTATTCACTGTCGTTAAACTATTATTAATTAATAGATTTTTGAACTAAAAAATATAAATCGAGGTATTTCATCGGCACCACAATGATTGTTCGCGCTGTTCGCACAATCAACGCAGGTGAAGAGATTTCTGAAAACTATGGTCCTATCTTCACAACTATGCCCGAGAGTGAGCGAAAAAGAAAATTAAGAGTGCAATATTGGTTCGATTGTAATTGCGAAGCGTGCTCGGGACATTGGCCGCTTCTAGATGAATTGGATCCAACAATACTCAGGTATAATTTATCGATTTTCAAAAATGTTAATATTAATTTAGAATATATAATTAACATTGTGATTATTTATAAGATTATAATGAAAATATTGATTTGCATCAACTGTTACTTATTCTCATTATTTAATAATTAAATAAAAAATTGCTAACATGTACAAAATGAAAAAAATTTTTAAGAGTAATATAAAAAATATTAAACACTCAAATCATCTACTCTATCTTATTGAAAACACATTAACTTACCCCTTTGTTCTTCCAGATTTAAATGTGAGACTGGACCGTCCTGTGGTAACGTGTTAATGGTCAAAAGCGACACAAATGAGTTCATGATCGGATGTGCGAAGTGTGGTAAAAGTATGAACATCTTGAAGGGCTTGAAAGCTCTACAGGATACGGATGCACTTTTCAAAGTCGCGTCGATGAATCTCGAAGAAGGCCGAAATGAGCACGCACTGAAAGCATATCTTGAGATTTTGAAGTTACTGGACGAGATTCTAGTATTGCCCATAAGAGATTATCACATCTGTCAGCAGGGGGTCAGATTATGCTCTCTTGCTTTAGGCAATACAGCTTATATCTAGTCTCATCATGAATATAAAAAAAATTATACAAATTTACGTAGAATCTTTCTACGTAATTTACGTAGATTCTTTATAACAAGTTCGATTAATCTTAAGTAACTGTCTTAAATCTTTCATCAGAATGTTTACAAAGATATCGAGAACCTTATCGAAGATTAAAAATAGAAAACAATTTTCTTTTAAAATCTTTCCTTAAAAAAAAATCAAACTTGCATCACAATAATTTTTTTGTGTACACGCATATACATTCACATACATAAATGCATATTTATATTTATGTATTTAACTTTTGTAATACTAAGATGTCGTTTTTTTATTATTATTCATTACTGACGCGAAGAAAGAAAACAGTCGTGCAAATTTCTTGTCATGTTCGCATTACACAGAAAAAAGTCAATTTGGCTGAAAATTTCACACATTTATTTATTATCATTCACAAATTTCTTTGTCTTGTCAAATTCAAGTACAAAGTCAAGTACAAAGTAATTAAAACAAGTTTTGCTCTCTTCCCATCCTTCCTTCAAATTTAAGTATTATCTAATATTCATTGATAACTATTAATTAATGATAATAACACTAAGGAACACATTTTGCAACACGAGTATAATCATTTCCAATGTATTTTTACATGCTAAATCCATTGGCTATCAAGTTGACGTTTTGCGTTGCTTGCACTTTTCGCATTCAGCATCTGTGCTTTCTCTCTTTTCTATGTCCAAATATATTTATCAAGTGCAAAAATTGTTAGAGTTCAAGGTTGATAAAAAACATGTTTTACACAGTTTAAAACATGTTTAATTAATATTTGTAATGTTTTAAATGTTGTTCTCATAGTACTGTTTAAAGCATATTTGAAGTATTAAAAATATATTACAAAGAAACAATGTTTTAGTCTATTAAAAAAAAAAAAAAGAAAAAACCCACCTCACAAAAACAAAAAAAAACATTAGTCTTTAGCAATCCTGTTAAAAACTTTAACTTTAAGCAATTTCAAACAACACGAAGAAATCTTTGGTGATAAAACTTTTGCTAATAGATTTATGTTCAGCAGACAAAAGATGACTATTCATACTCGTGTAGCAAAGAAAAAGATTAAATTTTGTTCCACAATGTATTTATTAAATGTCTTTTTAGATTTTTTTGTAATATTTTATTATTTTTGTTTTTAAGTAGCATATTTTGATAACGTTAATTAAACATGGGTAGGCATACAATTATTCATCTAGTCATATAATGTGCTAATATACTGTGCATAATATATTATGTATGTGTATACGCGTACATATATTCGTGAAACTTGGAGACTGTAGCTTATAAACTAAATATGTGATTTACGAAATTGATCGAATATCTACTTTTCATCGCATTTTTGTAATTGCTCATAATTTCAAATGCGAACGTGTAGTATGTATGTGTGATTAATAATCCATTTTTATTATGTACATACAAAAATTTCTCATTTTATATTTTTTTTCTTTCTGTCTTCTCTCCAGCACATAAAGTCGAGCCGCTTTTTCTTTCTCTTTCTCTTTCTATCTACTTCTCTTTCTCTCTTGAACTTTTAGCATCTAACTGCAATTAGATAAAGAATACAAAGCTTAGATAAAAGAGTGTATCATGGCGTAAACACATTTGTCTCTTTTTTGCCGCTATCGCAAAAGAGGATGTCTCTTTCGCGATGAATTCTTATGGCGCGTGAACGTGAAATTCTTATCGTGTCGTAATGGAGAGGATTTTTTAAAATCTGTCTAACCGTACCAAATGCGTGAAATGTCTTCGTTGTCTTTACTGTTATTTTTTTTTAATTTTTAATAAAAATTTTTCTCTTTTTTTTTTCTTTTAATTAGCAATATATTAATACCGTCTGTCACGGGAATCCGAACGTGAGCGGCGATCTCGGCTGCGGCTCCGGGTCAAAGATCTTCTGCGGGGACTGCGTGATCTCGATCTAAAAAATTAAACGCAGTTTGACATCATTTTCATTTTAACATAACAGACGAAATTATTAGAACGCATTACGTTCCACTCCATTACAAATTTTGCAAATAAATAATATTGTAATTATTGACACCGTTTATCTTAAATTATCAATTAATGTTATTTGTCAAAAATAATATTAATTACACTATTACGATAAACAAACGATTATTTAGTATAATTAATTGCTAAAATAATATTTGTTAATTTAATTATTACTTTCAAATAATTTTTGACCATTACTCTTTTAGAGGATCATTCATTTAATAATATGTTAAATTTAATCTTAATTTTTGTATTCTCAAATTTTAAATTACTAAAAAATAAATGTAGATTGCTAATTTAATGTTCTTGCAATAATCATTTACTAATTTTTAAATATTTGTGCAATTTGTCTTTACTTTTCAATGATCACCTATTTATCATTATAAGAAAATACTTGAAAAATTATGACGTCAAATTCTGTTCAAAATAGAGTGAAGCGGTGCGATTGAACACAGATACAAAAAATCATCGCAAGGCAACTGTAAGAGAATTAGGAGAATTATTTCCTATTTTACCTAAAAATGATGTATAAAAATTATATAGTTAGACACGATTAATAATGAATTAATACAAAATGATGTCTCACCAATCAAATGCGAAAACAAAAAAAGTAGAGGATTAATTTTAGTAGTAAAATTATTAAATTTTATCAATAAATGTTATATCTCAATGTATATCGATTTTATTATGTGTATTGGCTGGGAGTTCTCTGATTCGATTAAACATCTATTGTTCGTTTATAAAAATTCAATTAAAAACAATTTCATTCTCTCAATTAATTATCTTCGAGATTCTTATTTATACAATCCCGACAAAACGCATTAATTGTTCATGGAATCAGACAGAACTCTTCACCGAAACGATTCACAAATTTGAAATAAGAATTGTAACAAAGTAAAAAAGATATATATATATATATATAAAATGAAAAATAGAGATAGAGATAAAAAATCTTTGAAAATCGGTGAAATACCAATGTGAACATGTACAGGTGGTTGGTTGGTGGGTGGTGGTGGGATGGTGTGTAGTAGGTGATCATTTCGCTTATTTTGCGTGATCATTTCGTTCGAGGAGTCGAAGGTCGAGAAGATCTCTCGGCGGCAACTCTCACGCGTTCAGTTGTTGTTGCGGATAACACACGTTCCTAAGTGATGTCGACGAGTAGTGGCAGTAGCAGTAGTGGTAGAAGTAGCAGTAGCAGTAATACTAGTAGTAGTGGCAGAATAGAAACGTCGGTCTCGAAACGACGAACAGTCGGGAAGACAGTCGATCGTAGTCAAATGGAGAGACGCGCCGATGGACAGAATTACTGTATGACGATTTCTTTTATTATTTTTTTTAATAATTTGCATCGCGATTGGTGGTGGTCACAAACTGGTGGCGGTGGCCAGTTGTGGATGACATTTTTTTCTTACGGTGGCAAATTTTGTTTTTGGTGATTGATTCGATGTGTGCTGCCGTCCCCCTAAAGCTGAGACGAAGAGTCGAAGAAGGTGGATCACAACACCCGGTTGATTGGTCGGTTGGTGGTTGGTGGTTGGTGGTGGTGGTGGTGGTGGTGGTGGTGGTGGTGATGGTTGGTGGAAGAGTAGTAGTAGTAGTAATAGTAGTAGTGGTGATCGAAGGGGAGAGTCCCGCAGTGGAGCGATGGACAATGTTTTTTTTCGGTTCAAGACGGTTTTTTGCGGTGCACGATGGCGGACGGGGGAAGGGGGACAGCAACGGAAAAAAAGCAATGTTTTCTTTTTTCTTTTTTTTTCCGAAGGTGGCAGTCTCGGGCATTGGCGATACTCCGGCAGCGGTGACGGCACACGGAAACTGTTGTTTTCGGTTGTTGCGCCGTTGTGTGCTGTGTGCACGTCGCAACACCACAACGCACAACATCGACGGGCGACGTGACGTGACGTGACGTGACGTGACAGACGTACGGACGGCTTCCTATATACTCGGTGACTTGGTGGTGACTGATGGTGACTTGGTTGGGAAGTTAGTGGGCAGGCAGGCATATTTTTTGTTCAGTTTTGTTCGATTGACGATTGCGAGACTGACGATTTGCTTTTTTTTTGTTCGCGTAATAATACGCTTTTTTCACGGCGGCTGTAGAAGTAGTAGTAGCAGTAGTAGTAGTAGTAGTAGAAGTAGTGGTAGTAGTAGTGGCGGGGAGACGAGCAGAGCTAGGAGCTGACGCTGGTAGAATCTGCAAACGTCAGTTTTAGCAATATAATCATCAACGTTATCATACTCCTGGCCACTATCGCGTATTTTTTACGTTTCAATTTCTTTTTTTTCTTTTACGAATTTTCGTCATTTCGGAAGAAAAAAAAAAGAGAATTTCCGAATCGAGAACGAAATTTACAATTGCACACGCGCTCGCTTCTCGCCGTTTTCATCGATCGATTCTCGCATTCTCGTTTATCCTAGACTGCCCACTCGAGTACGTACGAGAAAAAAAAAGAAAAAAAGAAGGGAGGACCTCTCTGTGCTCCGTGCTGATCGACTCGAATATCTAGATATGTGATGGATGTATATACCGCTTCCGTACGCACCACGTTCTCGTCGCGACGCATCAAGCATATATATATTCATCAAAATGAATTGATAAACACTGTAGGTTCAGATCACACAGATTCACTTCCGTACGCTTGAACCATCTGCGTGCTTCATCCATGCCACGGTGCGTGTGCGATGAGAAGTGATGAAAGCAGTGTTCGTCTCAACTTCCTTCAAGGAAGCTCAACAAGCAACAAAAATATATTTATACCTGAGAAATTAAGATATTAACCATTCTCAACAGAATAAGAGTAATAAATTTTCTGATCTCTAATCTTACGTTAACGATTAAAGAATTTATTCAAATTAATTCTGGAATTTATATTATACTTTTTGCCAATAAGGAATTATTATTCGCTATTGCCATTAATATTAGAAACAAATCTATCTTTACAATTCTAGTAATCTTCTACCTATTCTAAAGTTATTAAAAAGGTGCAAACTTTATAGTTATATATTCAATTTTACTTCCTTTATGATTTACGATTTTAAACACCGAGAAGATCTCCCATTTTGAAGTAAAAAGTAAAATCGACAATGGCACGATACGAAAGTTCACATGTGAAATGCCGAAGAGAAGTTTTGTTGTTTCCGTTGCTATTACGCATTTCTGAAATTTACTGAGCCTGTTTCTATTTGTTATCACATTATTTCTATTTAATTCCTTCTCATTTTCGTCTACCATCGCATAGTTCGTTCAGTCTTGTTCTCCCACTTTCAATTCGATTGCCGATCAAGTACTATTTTTTCTTTTTTTTTTTATTGCCGCTCGAGCACCCATGATTCGCCGAAATCGTGATCGACTACTTTCTAAGACGTCCTTAGTTTTCCAATTATAAATTTCGACCGCTTACACAGAGAACGGTGACAAAGTAAATAGCGAAATCGATTTCTAAGTGAAAATTTTATTAAGTTAAATGCAAATTTCTATTTTTTTTCGTTAATTTTGCCGATTAATTTGATTCCATCATCGTTCTCCGTCTTGCCTCTAGTGACTATGACTACTATCTCGTGACAAATAATGCGTGCAATATGTATACTACACTGCAAGCAATAGTGCATACCTACTGATCACTACCCCGTCAGGATTCTGAAAATCAGTTTCTGAAAACTTTTGCGAAGCAAAATACAAAAATTTGTCGAACGAGTAAAAAAGAGAGAATTTATTACCTGGAGTAACGGCTTATCGATGCTCTCTGCGGACTTCTCGACCAGGATCTACAAAAGATTAAGAATAACTAATGTATGTCTGCCAAGTATGTTGCCGATGATCGCCTCGCGTTTTTGAGAGATTTTCATTTGTCTTAGCACCTGAAAATTGCGGTAGACCGCAAAATGGAAAAGAAAAAGAAGCGAGATAGATTTATGTGTAAAGAGGAGATGGGAAACTAAGAGGAGCAGGAAAATCTTACCTCGGGTAACGACCAAGGGATTTCCTACGGGGGCTGTGCGACCTGGACCTACAAATTTGTTAAAAAAAAAAGATATATCGTACATAAATCCGATTGTTAAAGCATGTAGACAAGAGCGTTACAATAGAAAAAGAGAAATATAGAGCAAAAAAGATAAGATATGAGTGGTGATACCCAAGATAATCGAATACAAATTGTAAGATAAAAAAAATTGCTCATAATTTAATTTATTTAACTTTTATTTCATCATTAAAAAAATTGATAAAAACAAGAATATTTTATTATTATATATCTTTCTTTTACTTATTTAAAAATTAATATGATTCATAATGTTGTCTCGAGAATACTTTGAAATTTGTATTTTGATTTAATTTATTAATTTATTAATATTTAAATTTTTTAAATTGCGCCAAAAAGCTAATTTCTGATATAATTAAAAACAATATTAATTGTGTGCTTGATACACTTCATTAATTTTTAAATAACGAAACACGAATAAGACTTATTCCTCGTAATTTGCTTTAATATATAGGAAAATTTATATATATATATATATATATGATGCGATATTTCCCTGTCTACGCGACATGCAATGTGGATTTAGCCGCGCTCTGGCTAATCCTCGGAATTAACCTTTCACCATATTCATGCAAACTTAATATTTATAGTAGTGTAATCTCTACAAGAGGCATTGTGCGGTCTAATTTGAACAATCGGCAATCTCAAACTGCGAACTCACGATCGTGAACGAGAAGGAGGATTAGCCAGTTACACGAGAAAGAAAGAAAAAGCACGATGTATAAAATATATATATAAATATGCAAACTAGATGTAATATATATGTATATTGTGTATATATATATATATATTCCTAACAGAGACATAAAAAAGGGACAATATCGATTCTCGCGGTGATGATGTGCACGAAAAAGTATTCACTGGGATGAAACATAAAATTCGTGCATTGTTCATTTTGGTGACAAGGGCGCACTCTTGCTCTGAGAACAAGAGAGAAGCTCTTCTACACCATGAATACCTACGTTGACGAGGAATGCTTAGCCGTGTCACAGCTCTAACGCTTGTTTTCGCTGTAAAGTGCACGGTTGCTGCGAAATGCTATGTAATCTCTTACCTAGAATAACGAGGTCCAGGTCTGCGACCGCCACCACCACGGCGACTTCTCCCAGAAGACATCTCCACTCTTACTCTGGTGCCACAACATCGTCTGAAAGATGGAAAGTATGTCACTTGATATACCCTCAATTAAATATAATATAATAACCTCGCTAAATCGCACTATTTTTTTCTCCTTTTGAACAAAAAAGCAAAAAAGATTATCAATTTTAAAAATAATTACAATAGTATTACAATATAAGTAATTGATATTCAATAATCACATTAAATAATTTTTCACAATAATAAATAATTGAACAATTTATTTCTCCGTACTATTTATAAATTTGCTCATATATGCTTTAACACTAATAAGTTAGACTCATCATTACTAGAAAATTGTAAAGCTTAGACCTGTATTCTGGAACTTTCGTAAACATGAAGTTCTTTCATTTTCAAAGAAAAATGGTTTTTTACACAATAATATCATATAATAACAACGAAAATAGCTAGTTACTATTTTCCTAAAATAGCTAACATAATCTCACGCTTGATTTTCAAAAATCTAAGTTTGAAGCATGTATATTTTTCAAAGCTACAGACAAGTTTCTTATAATTATTGCTTTGTATGTTGATAATTTTTTGATATTTTCTAAAGATAGCTCTGAAAGCTGAAAAAATTAATGAGAAATTTTTAAATCAAAGATTTGGGCCAAAAGATGCTTAGGATTAAACATTGAAAGAAATCAAAATGCATAAGTGTGAATCAGAAAGATTATATTTTAGAGCTACTTTTAAAATTTGGTATGTATTCAAAAATGAAATCAGCTTCAACTCCTATGGAAGTAAATGCAAAGCTAAATTGTGATGACTGACAAAGCAAATATTGATGTATTCTATCAGCAATTACTAGGATCTTTAATGTATTTAGCTGTAAATTCAAGATCTTGCTTATTGTAAAACTAATTTTTTAAGTCAGTTCAATGTTGCTCGTATTGATCAGGGCACCTATCGGAATGGATTCCGACCGGTATGATTCAATTATTTCCTATATTTCTTTTGTGTTTTCTGAGGAAAACGGAATAATTTCGATCGGAATCCATTCCGACTGTTTCATAATAAATGCCCAACACTGAAAAGCAGCAAAATGAATTTAAAAGGTATCATTGATTATTGTCTAACATACAAAAGAACGATGATATGCACATTACAGACTTTGTAGATGGTAATTGGGCGAAAAATTCTAATGATCGAAAATCTTACAATGGTTTCGTCTTCATGTTAGCAAATAGATCCATATCTTGGGAAATTCATAAATAGAACATAGAAGCGCTTTCTAGTACGAAGGCGGAATATGTTGCTATTTCTGAGTCAGCCAAAGAGGCAATTTATTTAAAAGGTTTGTTACATGAATTAACAAATTGTAACGAACCTATAGTAATTTTTAATGATAATGAAAGCGCTTAGAGACAGGATTGGTAAAGACTAATGTTTTTTTTTTTAAGAATAAAACATATTGTGTTTTTTCTTAAATATGTTTTTAATGCTTCAAATATGCTTTAAACAGTACTATAAAAAAAAATTTAAAACATTAAAAACATCAATTGAGCATGCTTTGTGAACTGTTTAAAACATGTTTTTTTATCTACCCTGCTCACAGGTTAGCATCCAATTTTTCATAATAAAACTAAACATCTTAAATATCATTTCATCAGAAAAGTTATTAAAAATAAACAAATAATACTTACAATATGAATCTATTGATAGAATGATAACAGATATTTCTACAAAATCATTAAGTAATGCCAACATCTTTTTTATCTCAAAGGTTTAAATTCAGAAGTTGGGTACACAATCAATAAAACATTATTTATTTTTACTCACTAGATTAAGGAGGAGTGTTATTAATATAAATAATTTAGTGAATTCATGCAGATGTCGTGACTGTGTGAGAGCGCTGGAAAGAGCATGCGTATAGTGTATGATTAGCATGAATACAACGAAATACCATGTTAATGTTTTATTAGTTGCTAAGCTAGTCTCTTTTATTATACTTTCGCTGTTTGCCTCTGATGTTTAACAGTTCGTTGTAATAAAGTTATCTTCCTAAAATCTGACTCGAATATAAAAATATTAATCAGTAATTTACAACAATTTTTATAAATAAATTTCTAATTTGTCATTTTTCGTAGAAACTATATATACCTTTAACAATTAATATTGATCTATAAAGTAATGCTCAGAATGCTTTGAAACCTGCAAATCTTATAGAAATGGATTTTTGGTTGAATTGGTTAAAAATTTGACATATTGTAGATCTTGTCGTCCTGATAAAAAATCTATAGGCACGACACTCTACAATGAACCGTTTGACCTCTACTAGGCGTCATTTTTCAAAACGGATCAATACTTCAATATCTTATTTTCAACGAGTGCATTCCTACGTCATTATTTACACTTTCTATGTATATTTTTAAGTACCGTGAAGATTTGTTATTAGGACAAGATCTACACCATGTCAAATTTTCGGCCAATTCGATCAAAATTCAATTTCCATAAAGTTTACGCAGGGTTTTTTGTGTCTTGATACATAAAGATTGCATATAATATAAAAATTACTAATTCTCAAACTTACGTTCCATCCAATCCTCTTACGGCGTCTTCAGCGTCTCGTGGATCTTCAAACTCCACAAATGCAAAACCAGGAGGATTTCGAGCTACCCACACATTTCTTAGTGGACCATACTTACTGAATGCGCTTTCAATCTCATGTTTGCTAGCGCTGCTGCCTAAATTACCAACATAAACCTTGCAAGATAGATCCCATTCTCGATATCGAGACATTTTTCAACCTGAAAACAAACGTATTGTAAATAACACAATCTGAAGATTTATTCGATATTTCGAACAGTCAATTAAAAGTCAATTCGAATAATGTAGAAAGTGTCCCCAATCTCTATCTGTCCTTGTCTGTACGAAATTTATCTATGCACTTGCGTAAATAAAAATTGCCTGTGTTCTAGACTGTATAAAAATCTGAAAAAAAGCTTGCACATTTGTAAAAGCTTGAACAAGTTTGTAGAAGATGGATTAAATTGTACTTATTTTTTACAAATTTAAATTTAAATTCATCTACCAAAATTTCGAGTAAAAAATCAACTCTGCCTTTAAAGTCCAATATTGCTGACTGAAGATAAATATCAAAGCACAGATCTTTACATAATGCATAAAGCACAAAATCAATCAGACTTTTATTTTATGGAAAGGAAAGGAAATGAAGGACTTTGATTGATTCATTTTTTATGTATTATGCCTTTTATGTTATACAAGATTTTGTACTTTCCAAAATTATGACACTTTCAGTGTTTAATATATTCTAGCCCATATTCAGAACGCGCTTACATCTATAATTTATGTTACGCATATATAGAATTTTAAAGATAAAAGCACATTCTGAATACAGGTCTCTATGTTCTAAGATTCGATACAATGCGAATATAATATAATATAATATAAATGTAAGAAGTGAGATTCAGTTTGTATTCTTAATACATATATAAATAAATTTTCAATAAGTGAATAAAAAGTAAAATAAAGTCGAATTACTTATAAATGAAATCGAGGCGAGATTTACAAATTAATAGCACTATTATCATTCTAGCATCTATTCTTCAACATGTTCATCATTATAATCATGTAATTGTTAATGTTTAACAATGTATTAAATGTATAAATTACATATCAATATCAATTATGTCTGTTTCATGCCTATTTCCATCAATATAATTTAATTTTAATCTTGGTTCAACTAACTCTTCCTCTTTCTCTAGTTCAAAGAATTAAAAAAAAAATTTTTATCTCGATTAACAACGAATTTTCATTCTTTTTAGTTCTAAGAATTAGAAAACCATGAAGAGCAAATTGAATTAAGATTAAAGTTCATCTACATTGATATAAGAAATGGACAGAAAGAAAGCATTTAAAGCAAACTTTAATCTCCATTCAATTTGCTCTTCATGTTTTTTTAATTCTTAGAACTAAAAAAAAAGATGAAGAATTGATTGTTAATCGAGATACAAATTAAAGGTTTATTTTTGCTTGAACTAGTGTACACTTTTGGAACTTAAAGTGAAATAGATATAGTTTGACACTTGGCAAAAGCGAGAAAGACTGAGTTCAGCGAAAAAGGAATTTTGCAGCTGATTGGTTTATACATTTAGATCCAGTGAGGAACTAAGAGCACTAATTACATTTAAGAATTTTACAATTGTTGCAAAGATGTTTTTTCTATTAAACGCAGCCCATATTTTAATGCAGTTTAGTACAGGAATCAAAACAGTCTTGTATCTACATTGGTATAGAAATGTTAATTCCAAGATCATCTCGTTGTCTTTTTTCCTCCTCGCCTTTCGATCCATCATAAAAATTTCGCGATATGTCGCCAAAAACTTTTCATCCCGGCTTCCCGCCAGCGAGCAAGCGTCTGATGCGTCTCAAGCGTCTCTGGTTGATTACTTTCATATCATGCGGGATCTCCCAACAAATATCAAGTGATCGAAATCTCAACAGCGCTCTGCATAATAAATTGATCAATTCACACTTACCTATGAGAGTGTTCTATTGAACTGCTTAAAAATCACTTGCGATTGGAATCAGATCCACGCTACAACTGAATATAAAATGGCGTCGATTCTAGTCTATTTGGCACACATTGACCTGTTCAGCCCACTCTTCCATCATCATCAGTTTTGTAACAGTGCTGCCATCGGCACTATCCTGTACTCCGCAGTTCAAGTGTAAGTTTAATACTGCAATTTTTATGAGAATTGTTGACGTTTCTAAGTCAATAATCAATCTTAATTATTATTCGATGATAAATTATTTTTTAAATTAATTTATCAATCGAATTTTAATTACGACAAGATTTTACTAAATTTTTTAAGTCGAATGTTGATGTAACACGCGATTCACGCGACGGAAGTGAATTATAAAGGATTTTTTTTATTATTATTATTTCTACGTAATTAATTAATGCATATGAATAATACATAAATAATACATTTATCATTAATTAAAAGGCTTGGGCGAGATGATTGTATGTTTTTAATTTGCGATTTGAAATTCAACGCTATATTTGACAGAGTATATCAGAATGTGTCGCAATATGATACAGAACAGAAGTTTGAAGCAATATTGCTGCAATGTTACATTGCAATATTACAGATTGCAATGTAACATTGCAGAGGTATTACAGAAATGTAAATTAACAATATGCCTGAAAATATCAGTAATATGGTTGTAATATTCCATAAACATTGCAAAACTGTAATTCTTTAACTGTTACAATAATAATAATATAAAAATATAAGTTTTTACAATATTTATGTAATACAGTCTTTTAGTTTAACAGCCGTTTTTATGATGTAATTAATATAATTCATTTTATATTTAAATAAAAAATTTATTGATCTATTATTTGACGGCCATTTCATTAGCTAAGTTTTATATTTATTTTAAATATAATCAAAAGATTGTATAATATTGAGTTTGGATACAATCAATGTATCATTATCGGATAAGATGATAAGCAATTAAACTGAAAATGATTTATTAATCGAAATATTAATTATGTGATCGATGATGTATTTATGTCTGATGTGAACGTAAGAATAAACCAGCGCCCGAACTTTATTGATAAATTTCATACCGTCATTTTTTAATCTATTTCAATTGACTCGGAGTGAAAATTTGCTCTTGCGTATGTGAAGCATGGATGAGATTGAACCCGGATCTATAGATTGCTAGTTCGCGAACCAATCATTGAGCCATCTGACGCCTCTTTTAATTTTATATGTTTAAAATTTTTGTTAGAAAGAGAATTGTCTGTAAAAATTTTTTAAACTTCCATTACACATTAATTTACTTATTTTATTTTATTATTAAATTTTCATTATACATTAACTTTTAAGATATACACACAAACACTCTCCATTTTTTGTTTTGTAGTTCAATAATTATACATTATATAAAAAAATATTTTAATACGACTTCTGAGAGCCTTTCTTTGTAAATAAAGAATTAAAAGGCAAAGCAAAATCTTATATATCGAAGTGGTGGTTACGAGAGATAAATATTAAAATATAATACAATGAGATATAATATTCTAAAATTGTTACATTGATATCTTATGTTTCTTTGACAACTGTTTAAACAGTGCGACTTTTGGCTGTTATTAATATTATTCAAGAATTGCAAATAAATTAATTAGTAAGAGCGAATTAATATTTATGTAATCTTATATTTATTAAAAGAATGTTTTATTATTAAACATAACATTACATAAATGTTTTTAACGTCAATATTATACGTCGCTTTATTTAAAAGTAAACAAAGAAATTCAAGATGAGAATACAGCACACAATTAGAGAGGCGTAAGGTGTAATATTAAAACTTTTATTACTTCATGAGATGGATGATATTATCATTATTCCAAATTGATTATACGTTTTGATTCGCTTTGGAGTCCTCTTCAGCATGTAAATACAGAGATTTCGAAGTATTTGAGTAGCAGACTTTCAAAATGCATTTCGTCCAAAATTTCATTTTTTTAGTTAGAGGTGGCAGTATGTTCAGAATGAGTCAAAGATTCATATTATAAGCTACTCTTAGATATTCAGAAAGCATTTTTTCATAGTTAATTTATATGTTGAAAAAAACGTAGACATTTCGAAGTGCATGTTATGATTTTTAACTAAACATAAACAAAATGCATTTGTTTAATATTTTTAGCAATTATTTAATAATTTTATTTAATATTTCACATCTACTAATTCACATATACTGATTGACATATTGTTATTTTCTGTAAAGTTGCATAGTTTCTTTCTTTCTCATTTTCTGAAAATTACAAATTTTGGATAAAACGTATTTTGAAAATTTCCTTCTCATTTATAATTATGCTATAATTTAGCAATAAATTTGTGCGGTTTATAGCCTTTTTTACTTTTTTTGTTCAAATATACGAAAAATTTTTTCTATCTTTTTAGAAAATTGCTACCGATGAATATTATTCGACGCATTATACACAATGCCTTACATAAGAATGAGTTTTGCGATAAAAAAATCTCATAATTAATGAACTAATCTCTTATAATCTATTTTCTCCAATTGCACCAAAGGTCGTAGTTGTTCTGCAAATATCCTCATGTCCTCTGCTATGGCATCCTGTCCACTGGGAGCCAATACGCTGAGCTCAACTAAATAACTCTGTGAAATCATTTCCGGTACGCCTTCTGGCACCTTACCCTGGTTCACTTTGAAGATCTTTGATACGGTGATCTTCATTCGTCCTTTGCGAAACATATAGCCACGAGTAACATATTCGAAGTCCAGTTTGCAGCCCAACTCGGTAAGAAACTCCACTACGGTATTACTTGTAGCGATGTCGATGCTACTGCGAACAATCGTTGGTCGAGATTTATCACCTAGTTCAGGTTGACCGATGTATCTCAACTGCCATGGCATGTCCGCGTTGCTCGCGTCCAGAGTACGTCGCACTCGCAGTAATAGCGGTTGTTCCTGCGGAGTACTTCTGAAAAGAAGTCAAACAAATACTTGTAACTCAATATGTAAATCGATCTTAATTACATTTTTCATATATATATCTGTGTTTTTATAAATACATCTATAAAAACATAGCATTGGCATGAAAGAAATGATTTTACCTACGGATGCTGAAACACATCTCATGGTCGTAGAAGCCCTCAGGTCCATGATCAACATTGTCACACAAACCACGAAGTCTGTGCAGCAGTACTTCTACGGAGGTATCCAACACTGATCCCTGTAATAGATACTCCTGATTGGGAATAATATTGGACTTGAGAGCAGCAGTTAAGCTATCCATGGCAGTACTGATCGGAGTAGTCATGTTGGCTTATATCAATGAGGAGTAACAGTCTCAGAACTATTCGTGATAATGTAAACGAAACTAAAGAATCCCTGTTATAAATGGAAATTATTGATATATTACTCGATATCTCTCAAACAAAACTTCTACATAGTGTTCATTTACTATAAACATTTACAATAATAATATAACTCAAAAGTTGTAATCTTTTAGTTGCTTGCAAAAAAAAATTTTAAAGATTTAAAAGAACTTTCATTCTTTTATAATTAATTATTACATTAAAATTACATTTCAAAATTAAGGTTATATTCAAATAAGGTCAATTTAATGATTCAAAACATTCAAATTTACTTTCTGAAAAACTTTATTTTTTTTGAGTTATAGCAAATAAGTAACAAGATTTTTTACATACCTCTGTTTTTATATATTATCTGTAGCACGGAGTTGAAGTAGTTTAATCCTTTCGTGCATTCTTTTCTCTTAAAGATCGACAAAGTTCTCTATATTTCGTTCTCTTTACATTACGCCTAACCTCAGCGTAAACTATCACTTTGTGACTTCATAAATGTTCTAATTGATATAGAACACTTTTTTATTTTAGTAAATTTAGATTATGTTCGTTTTTTATAATTCTTATTCGATGTTTAAAAAAAAAGTAAACTATACGGCTCACATAAAGTAGCCATAGCAGTGTCACTACATTTGGCTTCATCACGCATGATGCAGCATTTTATCTTTGTTGTTCATCAAATATCAAAGAAGGATAAAACGATAGGTCATATGTGAAACGGAACCCTTTATTTCCATCTCTCCGACTTTTTCCAAATGAATCTCTAGCTTTCCGGCTAAGAGAGCATGTTTTATGAAAAAGTCTTAACTAAAATTATTCCAATAAAATTTATTATTTTAATAAAAATTAAATTGGGAAAAAAAATTACTACATTTTTCAATGAAGTATGCCGCGTTCTAAATTTTATTCCACTTTAATAAGTTTTTATAAGATAAGATTTAAATTACATGTTTACGTATCTAACATTCTTAAAGTAAATTTGTTCTGGTAATTCGCATATTCCTTTATGCTAATCAGAGAAAGGAAATTCATCGATATATATATATATACAAATTAACAAATTCGCAGTTTTCACACACAATAGTAATAGTTTTAACAATTGCACTAAATATGCAAGAGCTCCAAGAGCCTCAGATACGAACGTAATAAAAAATACGATTCATCTCCTAATAAATTTAATTCGACGAATTTGTTATTGGCACGATTTTAGTTCCTTGTTAAAATAAAGATATAATAATGAATTGATCAAATGATCTATAAAAATTGACAGTCTCTTTTGGTAGAAATCTACTATTACTATGTATTATAGAAGCAAAAAATTTTTATTTCACAAAACTTATTAATCCAGTAAATTTATCAACGTCCAATAATGGCAATTATTAACGCATTCGTCGCGAATGAAATATTTCGGAATTTTAGATTATATATTCGATACATTTCACGGCTGCTATAAAATATCACTTAGAGACGCACGTTTCATAGTCGTATATTATAACAAAATTGAATTTTTAGTTTGATTTTTAATTTATCAAGCCTTATATTATTTCCTTATTGTTATAACAAAGTATTATCGCGCAACATCGAACGATATTAAACTTATTATGGAAAATTCGACAGTCTCTTATATTTCGCAAATCCTCTCCGTTCTTTCTAGCTGTGTTTTCTAAAATTGTTTTTAATTCCTTGCAATTCTATTTTTCCGCAAAATTTCCATTGTATACATAATTGCTTTACTTTAAATGCCAAAAGCATAAGAGAGAAAGCATGGCTAAAAAGAGCGGTCCGATTATCAATCGACGCGTCATTTCGTTCCTATAGATAGCCTATTACTTCGAAAATTTTTTCCTAGCTAGGATAAACGCTATTGATGCGTTCATAGAAGAGTAAGTATGGACTGGCAAGCAGCACCTGCGTCAATGACACGTTCTCGACAATGACGTCGGATGTGTACAGCCATTGATCCGCTTTATTTCCGCGTCTGAAGCAAACGAAATGGCCGGAGTCCACTGGGCCGCGGTGCTCGATTACCGCGCACAACCGATACTTGTTTTTACCCTGTATCGTTATGAAATTGTTACCAAGAAACTTCGCGTCACCCTATAAATAGATTCCAGTAAATTAATTGAACTGTGCCTGGCTAATCATAAGTTTAGATTGAAAGTTATAGGATTGTAAATTAAATATTTCAGAAAATTCTTTATTTTTTTGATAAATTTACTATAAATCTTTTTATAAATCACCTGCGCGCTTCTCTTTTTTGTCTCCGTATAAGTGTACGGATCTAGCACCAGAAATTCGGGAAACGTGATCTGATCATCCCTTTTAATTGGCATGCCTGAAGAGCTCCAAGTGGTCCTCGGAATATGCAAGCACAAACACTTGGGCAGTTTGCCGAGGGTGAGAGTCTTGATGGCGGTGCAACGCGATGAACATCCATCACATTGCACATCGCGTACAATTTCACTGTCTACGAAACGTGACAGTAACCATTCTAAAGAATGATGCTGTGGTACGAATGATGAAGTGAGCGGTGGTAATGGTAATGATAATGTCTCAAGCTTATCGTAACGTACTGAAGACTGAAAAAGAAATGAGAATTAAGATTAAAATTTTGTATTATTAAAGACTTAACATTATTAAGATTAGAATTTAAGATTATTAAAACTAGAAATTATTTTAATAGAAAGCGAGGGAAAGAAAATATTATTATTGATATTTGGATTAAAAAGATGTGTAAATGAATTAATAATATTTAAAAAATTCGAACAAAGGAATTAATAACGAAAAAAATTGTTTGAATTACTTTCGTGATAATACCTTCCAGAAACAGTCGCTGCATTGAACTTGGCTAGTGATAAGGCCTGAAAACGGATGCGTCTCCACTGACATTGAAGGAATGTTAGTAAATGACATGGCGGCGCATAAAGATTTCCATGATCCGAAGAAGCTCGTGCAGTCGCCATTGCCTTGAATGCTTCGCGATAGCAACTCTGAAGATCTAGCGAGGATCATACCGGGCCTGCATGTGCTCGGAGATGTACTGGATATGGACGATGTTGAGGTCATCATCTGATTGTTGCAGTTTTTGTCAAAGCCCTTCGGATTATCGGAATTATTCTCCACTGACGCTATGTCATTACAAGAGGCGCTTCTAAGATTCAAAGTATCGCCTGTTCCTCTTACATCTGGATTTATAACCGGGCTTGGTGGCAGTGCATCGGACAAACAACCTTTCTGAAATCATGAATAAACTTTTCAATTAGTTACAAAGGTCTTAAAAAATCTTTTTTTGCAACGGAAAGTTTCTGTTGCATACAATAATGACATATTGAATACCCTATTAGCAGGTTGCATTTCAGCATCTAACGCACTGAGAACCACATGGAATAGCTCGTGAGCATCTTGATAACCGGGTCCAAAATTCCACAATGAGCCAACGGAAGAGATGATTTCAACAGGTGTCACATTACCATATAGGTCATCCGCAAAACCATTAATTTCTACCAAATATAGATTAGTACAATGTAAGATATAAAAGCATGAACATAGAAAATTAAAAAAATTTCAAAAACTTAATTTTAAAAATACTATCATTTTTTAACACTGATTAAAGATCTCAAGCAACAAAAAAATGATTAAAACTTAGAAATTAATTTAATGTTCATGGACTAAAAGTTGCAATTTTAAATCTACAACTAATAAAGATAATATCAAATCACAGCCGTACTTTTGAGAACAGAAAGCAATGTGTCAGCAAAGTTTCTATCCTTCTTTTCTTGTTGTTTCTGAAGCCAGAAAATAAACGAGGGACAAGCAGCCAATGCTTGTAAAAGAGAATTCAGGAAACATGTGTATCCCAAATTGTTAATCCCAACAACTCGACCTAGAAGCAGATAAAAAAATAAAGTCACAATTAAACTAGAGAATTTGTTTTCTATTAATCTAAAGCTAATGCCAAAATTTGTAACGTAATTATTGACGTGAGTCTGTAAGTATTAATGTGACTCATTTATGTTAATTAATAAACATTAATTAATTTCAAGAAATCAAAATGACATAATTCTAATCAAAAAGAACAAATACCAAATATTTTATAACAATAATGATCCAAATTTGCAAATGTAACATAAAGAAAATTGAATCGTTTGATATTTTTGACAGAAATTTATAACTGAATGGGTTCAATAGATTCATCATCAGCTCCAAATGATTAAGTATATAATATTTCTTGTGATTGAGATAAAATAATTAAAAGAAAAATATGTATAAAATTATCAAGCGTAAATAAAACTAAAATCACAGTAATTGTGCTTTAATAATAAATCTTTAACAGAAACTTAACAAAAACATTCTAAAGAAATTATATGTATCTGATCTATATAATATAATAAAAATATACTTGTATATATATATTATATATATTTTTTTTTCCAACAGTAAAAGATATTGATAACGGCTACATTATTTTCTTTATACTTTCATTACACAAAAATAAAGCACAAGGATAAAAGGGTAAAAGGACGTAGTCTCCCTAATAAATGTTCGATGAACGTAGCCCGAATGTCACCTTTTTTCCTAGGTTTGGGCGACGGACCCCACAGAACGAAAAGGCCGACGGCGATGGCGAAACCCACTCCGGCAAACACTGCAATCTTCTCCACGTCCATCGCGCACCAAATCGATCAAGACTTTCCACCGACAATCCCTATGACGGAACGCTTTAACCTATGTTCCGGCTAATGCAGCTCGTCCTTGACTTTCGTTCGGGCATACTTCCGACGATTAAGCCTTCCCCGAGGCGCACCGTAAACAACGAAACTCACGTGGTTAACAAGACCAAGTTTTAGTGGAAAATCACGAAAGATAACTCTTCCGCACGGATCGCGATTGTCGGATGCGCGAACTCGCTCGATTCGACAACACGAGCAATTTATAGGTTATGATTGATTGACGAGCGCAGCGCAATGCGCAATAAACCGAATAAACGAATGAATAGGACGCATCGCATTCAACGAATTTGAAACGACGAATTGCAGCCAATGGTTGCATTCAGCGGACTCAATAGTTGAGTGAGCGCTCGCTGCTATTGATGTATTCTTCCAGATCTAAAATACTGAGTGGATGATCTAAAAGAATACACTAATAACAGCGAGCGTTTACTCAACTGCTGAACGCAGCAAATGCAATCGTAGGATGAGTTAATACTAGGGTCCTAGATCGATTTGAACACTTTTAATGCTTTTCAGTACTTCTATTCTTATTATACGTCTAATGAACGATAAAATGATGATTACAAGCGTTTGAGCCCAGATCAGATTTAAGCCTACAACAGATTTTAAAAACCATAAGAAATGGATGAATCATAATCGATTATTCTCCTCGCATTCAATTGTTTAATGTATCACGGCCTCTATTCTTCTTGAAAAGATACGTATTATATAGCTAAATTATATTTTAATTATCATTGCGATAAATATTCATGAATTTTATTTTAATTGAATATATTCAGTTTGCTCTCCTATTAACTATTAATATTTTTGTAATTTTGTTACAATTTTTGTAATTTTAAATGTTACAATATTATTGTATTTTAAGGAAAACGAATTTTATTGAATTTACCAATCACCATGATGGTATGGGGCAATGGATTGCGAGCATACAAGATTTTACTTTGACATTCCAGAGAAACAGTTGGAATTCTCGATCGTTTTGTTCAATTTTTTATTAAACCTTTGATGAAAAAAGATGCCATCACGCGGGAGCGAGAGATCATACAAAGGGATATATAAATCCTTATGGTAATGTTGTTGTTAAAACTTGCGGTTTTTTAATGTTCCATATTCACATAGAGTTTCAGTTGTTTGTTTTTTGTCTATTGACAAAAATAGAAAAGAACATTTTTATTGCTCAAACTGGTCATCCACTCAGTTAGTTTCTTTGGAGCAATTTAATAACATTATATAGATGATGTAGATGATGATAAGTTGTACGAAGAGCTGCACAAATTCAGAGAGCCATTATAGCGCTCACAGAATGATGCTAGCTATACAGGTAGTTATTATGTGTTAAAATTGCGATGAACAATATTGATTTCTTATTAAATATAGTTAATTCGTAACATGATACGTACATCTGTTTATAGGCGAGATTACTGCTAGATACATTGGAAATGTATGTCGTAACCTGCTTTGGTCGTATATTAAGTAACTGGCTGCCTTCCTTAAATAACTGGATGACTTTAGCAAATTTAAAGGCGGCATTTCTTTTGATACAGTCGCTTTTAAAAAAATGTATAAAATTAAATCCATCAGCGCTATCAGCCAAGTATGTAACTTAGACACACATATTCTAAAAAAGCTGTGTATACTGAAATGCATATAAAAATAAAATTGTCTTTTACAGCTACATGTAATATGGGGTTTGCCTTCAATACTTGATTTGTACAGAAGTAAACCATATAAATATATTTCAAAGATTATTGAGCGTGAAGGATATGGTTCTTTAACTAGTTATTTACGTAAAAAAATGTGGCCCGTTGATTTGTTCTGTGGTAACTGTGATAACGATAATGATTTCGGATACAACTCATGTAATACATGTAATGTAATATCACGAGTTAAATTGCTAGTCAATTTAATTCGTGATATTATTAGTTTAGTAGAGTTAGCTTTTTCAAAGATCGAAAAATCATTTCGGTGCGTTTCTGGGGACTACATACGTAATATATAAATTCACACAAGATCATACAAGCATTTAAGATCTAGCTAGACCGTTTAAGGCTTTGATTTCATTAAATTCAATTTAATGTCATAAAATTTAATTTAATTTATGTAAATTAAATTTCATGACATTTTTAACAGTGTAGATAATGGTACAATACTGATAAAATTGTAAATATTACTGTTTCAAACTTCTTGTTATTTTAATTTATCACATTATATTCTATTTCACAAAATTATTATTTGCATTTTATGACATTTTACACTTACTTATATTTTATTAGCAAATTACTTACATTTATATTTTTCCCAATTTTTTCTATTTAATATCTGGATTTGTTGCACGCGATAATTCACATTTTTGTTTTATTTATTCACAAAAAATACGCAGTATACATATATAATATATTATAATCAATAATTTATTTACAATAATATCGTTTGATTGCAATCATTGCCGACGTTTTGTTATTTTGAAACTATTTATATTTTTTTCTTAACTTGAAAATTGTATTCTTGTATGTTCTATTAGGAATAGCGTACATTGATCCACTTATTACTACAGAATTGCAATTACGTAAAATTAGAGAACTACTATATTAAAGAACAACGTTGATTTGCAACGCTGATATTGATTCTTATTTTTGGTAATCTGTTATGAATAAGTTTAATATGAATTATATTCAAAAATGAATTTTTTTAATTTAAAATGCTTTTTATTAGAAATTTTACGTAAATATAATATTAATTTATCACAAGTCGCAATTATATGATCACTATTTATTATGTGTCCAATTTTTACAGTCAATGCAAATGGACGTACAAAATGTAACGTACTTTTATTGAAAGGATTAGCAGAAAAAAATCCATCTTTTATTGAAGAAGCTATTAAATAAATAAAATTGTTTTCCAGATAGAGAACATAGTCATATAATATTATAAGATGTCATCATGACTTTATTTTAATTTATTTTTTATTATAAGTGAATTTATAAGTGACAAACAAGGTCACGATGAGGTTCTTATAATATTTTTATAACTTCTGTCTGGATTAGGACTATAATTTATTTAATATTATATCAATATAATAAATATTACAAAATATTACAGGATCAACAAAGCCATGAAGAAAATCTTTTTCAAATGTTATTTAATAATATCTTTATGAAAATATCAGCAAATTCTACAGATACAAGGAGATTTGTAAATAGTTAATAAAAAATTTATATTTATCATTAAAGTATGTATGTTTTCGGATAATTTGATTTCATGCTCAGTAGAGTCCATCATAATTATTATTATATTGTATTATTTTCGAGCTCTGATATCAATCAGGTTTAATTCCGTTGTTTCTTTAAATTTGGGTCTTCCCATAGAGTTTCTTGAATAAAATAATCGCATTTCCAATGTGGTAATAAATTTTAGTTTATTATCGATCAATTTTATTATATGATCATATGTTGTCTGCAAAATTTATTATTGAAAAAATTGAGTTTGAGTAAAGAAGTTGAAATCAAATAAAGCAAACGTTAATTTTTTCAGTAAAAAATTATATTGTTATATCATTTAGATACAATAAAGATTTATATATCATATTATTTTGCTATTGCACTAAATTGCGTTTTTGTTTATAAGATTTTCAATCTTAGTTGGATAAATTTATACAGAGTTTGATATACATGTTTTGATTCATGACTTATATTATTATAGCAAGAAAAAGGTAATAAATTTTATTATAGCAAGAATAAATTCTTCAAAAATTAAATAAAATGTTATTTGTAATTATAATAAAAAATGTAATTATAATAAGTTTAAACTCTTGGGAATTAACGTTGTATTATGTGCGCGATAAATTTCAATATTATTAAATTGTATCTCTTATATTTAATTAATAATTCATATATATGTTTAGATACAATTTAATAATATTGAAATTTATCGCGCACATAATACAGCGCTAATTCCCAACAGCTAAACTTATTATATTGGGCCATCTAAAAAGTATCCGCGGTACTTTGTCACTAGATATATGACCATCAACACACATCTAGTGACAAAAAACCGCGGATACTTTTTAGATGACCCAATAATTATATTTTTTATATCAGAAAATTAAGATTATTATTTTATTCGTTCGTTTGAATTATTTGTAAATTTTTATTTTAAGCAATTTTTTAAATATAACGGTTTTAGTACACAACTACACACTATAAATTACAGATTAGACGAGCACTTTATTGTATTTTATATATATATATATATATACATATATGTATATACATATGTATATATAATGTGTGTGTGCGTGTGTGTATGAACGCTGTTTTAAAGTGCGCACTCATTAATTATACTCAGATGGTCAAATTCCTGATTATAAGAAAGAAAATAGTTGTGCTTGACACAAGTTTCTCGTCAGTTGCCATAAAAATTGCCACAATTTATTTGTAAGAGGGAACTGTCTGAGTATTGCCATCAAATTGGTTGTAATCTTTGGTGGCAACAAAAATCGACAATCTAATAGGCAAAATTAGCAGTCGCTAATAATGTGGGTCGCTTAATATTGTGAGTGATTTAAGCAACTTGCTATCTGGAATCGCATGTGATTCATGAATAGATGGATGTTTAAATATAGTTTGTAATTAAAACTCTTATATTTAAGTATACCGGTTATAGAATAAAAATTTATAGATAACTTTTTTTACTTAATTTTATTTTTTTTAAAACTTTCTTGCTATAATATTTAAGCCGCGTATTTTGCGACACCTTGTATAAATTTAACAGTTAAATAATTAATAAAATTGTTGAAAGAATTACTTATAAAAAATTACTAAAACTTAGGCGCAATAATTATTTTTTTGTATCTAATAGAATAAAAATAAAATAAAATCGATAAAACTGATAAAATCTATAAAGTATAGAAAAATAAATATGTACTCACCACTTTTCCATCTTTCAAAAAGTTGACAAAATCTGATGAATAAGTGCAATTCTGCCTATTTTTCACAATGTGTACGTGTAAATCTTTTTGGTCAAAGAAGTGATTCTTTAACAATCTAATTTGAAAATTGGAATCCATTTGTTCATTTGCATTCTTCTCTCTATATATTATAGCTGTATTGTATGTAGTTGTGCAAATACCTATTAGTGTATTTTCGTTCATGATACCCAAATACCTATCTTCCTCGAATCCATGAATCTTTATATTAATATTTATGTTAAATTGAGAAACAATATCTCGAATAAAATTTCTAGAGTTCTTGGGAACGTTGGATTCTACCCAATAAAAAATTTGTCATGCATGTATTTATATAAATATGTATAAACATACCTAAACATAAATATTCATAAACATGTATAATTATACATGAAATATGTCCATACATCTTTCTTTCTTTTGTGAAATTTCTTTTTAAAAATAATAATAATATTGAGAAAAACATCAAAAATAGTTAATGGGACAATTGTCGCATTGTTTGTTTTAAAAAAAAATCACAAAATTTGGAAAAATGCAAAAAAATTTGTTCATACATAACTATGTATAATTTTACATACAATTATATATGTATAGCAATTCTTTTACATTTCTCCAAACTTGATTTTTCCTAAAATAAACAATGCGAAAGTTTTTCTTTTAATTATTTATTACGTTTTTTCATTATTATTATTATTTTTAGTATATTAAAAATAATAATAATAATTTTATAAATGAAAGAAAAATGTATAAACATGTATGGACCCATCTCATACATAATATGTTACATAATATATTATATACAATATATTAATGCATAATATATTATATATGTTTATGAATATTTATACACACACATGTTTATGTGTGACAGGATGTCTCGTAAGTTTTTGCCAACTACTTTTGTATAAGGCGGATTAAAACAGCGAGAGATATAAATGATTTTTGTCTCTTACAGTTTTTCTGTAAAATTGATAGTAGGTATTTGAGTAAAAAATTATTGAAGACCAAATTGAAGACATATTCGATAATTTTTAGTAATTAATATCTTGTTAACTATTGCGAAAATTGCAAAATTGTAGAAGACTTTTTGACTCAGTTTAGTTCACTCTATCTACACAAAAGCGCTTAGCAAAAACTTACGAAACACCCTGTATATTCATAAAAAATTTCTATAAAAAATTTTTACTAGGTTTGGATGCATTCAGTACACCACGATTATTGAATTCCATCTCAAACCACTTTCCTTGGAGATTGCTCAATATAAACTTTTCGTCCAAATAATTCGACGTGATATCATACAAGTAACAGCGCAGAATTTTCATTTGAATGGGATGACATGCTATTGTAGAGTTTAATTTTGTTATATCGTCGTACACTCCGTATTCTATCTTGATTTTATTCATCTTGTATAAATATTCTGGATTAAAATACGAATCTTCTGAAACATTTGCGACGATACCTAATAATACATAAACAAAAATTAGATACAGCATCTATTGTTACAGACATTAATTTTCGTAATAATTTATCTTTCAAAATTTATGATTATATCCATATTTTTAGCAATAGCATTTTAATTTCTCCTAAAAAAAATATGTAATAATACATAAAGTAATACATAAAGCATCGTACAGACATGGTGTGCAAGTAATTGGTTCAAATATCCGCATACTCCGAGAGAAAAAGGCATATTTGTGATATGAGCAGATAACAAAATCTTTGAAAAGTGTTATAAAAATGCTTTGGACTTAATATTTTCTTTTATTTAATTTTACAGTATTTTTATATAAATGTACATTTTATGTAAGTGTTTTTCTAATTTAAATTTAGAATTGCTATTTAGAAAGCCTAATAATTGGATGTGTTGAGAAATGTAACGTACAATAAGTTGATAAATATGATATTGAATATGTAAATATGTATGATATTGAATAGTTGAACAGTTGTACTTTCTAACTTATCCAGAAAGAACGGGATCAAGGTAACATTCACTAGCATTATGAAGCAGTAATGCACTTCCAATATCCGTTTAGTATTATCCTTTTTCACTTATAAACTTCTTTATATTAGAACGTACTCATTATTTAATCTTTATAAAAATGGTATCGTTTTGACCTCTTTTGTTGTTATGGATGTAATATGATTCGAGCCTTTTTCAATCTCCATAATGTAAATAAGGTTCTAATAATAACATTTATAGCTTATTGTAAAAATATGCTGTGTGTCATGTCTTCCTTATTCTAACATACCTGACAATAAAATTTTATGTGCAATTTTTCTATTATATTAAATTTTATATATTTTGTATAAAAGAGAAAAAATATTATGTTATCTCATTATGATATCTCATTAAAATGTGTACTCAAAAGATATATCTTTTATAAAAAGTATAAATTTATTTTACATATAAAAATAAAATATAAATTTATATTTTTAAAGAATATAAAATTACAATCTATAATATATTTTGATCATTAAATTAGTTACTTATATAAATATTTTTATAGTAATTATTTTATAGTAATTATATTAATTATTATAGTAATTGGTGTATTTAATGTAATGTAATTAATATGTATTTAATTTAAAAATAAAAATGTTTATGTGAACTCATCCATATACATGTACCTATTTAATCTAAATTATTACTCAAAATCTTACTAAATTTTTTCGTTTTTTTTTTCATTCATTGCATTAAATTATTTATTTCTAATTCTTTTATTTTAAAATATAAATGAGTATTTTTATGTTTTTTCAAAATAATTATTATAATTGACATATAAATAACACGATTATAATTCGATTTATTCGATACAACCATTCATGAAAATTGAAATAAATCAATTACATTAAAGCAAAATGGGCTTGATGAAATTTTCTTTTTGTAATAAAGTAATAGATATTATAGTTTATTATCATAATTACTAAAAAAACTCTAATCATAATGAACTTTTGTTACTATAACAAATTATTGCTTAATAGAATTACAATATATCGACAATATATCAATTCTAAATGTTACAACTAGAACAAGTAACATCATTTTTAGTGGACAAATTCAATTCATTCTGAATATGATGCTATGTAAAAGGAGTTAGTATTTACTTATATTAGATATCATGACAGATATTATCATAGGATCAACAAGGCTAAGAATAAAATTATAATTTTATCAAATGCTATTTAATAATATTTTTGCATAGTTTTTCAAAATTGATCAATTATCCAATAGCAAATTTTACAATTATAAAAAGATTTGACAGATATGTGCATATTTTATATAATTAGATCAGTGATGTGTAACTTTCAATTCGTCGAGTCACATGCGGACCGAGCCAAATTGATTTTCTGCGGTCCACCGATTCAAGCCAACAATATAAAATATAAAAAAGAAAATAAATTAAATTTTTATTTTATATATACCATTAGACAACATTACGCATACATTTTAACAGTTTCATTTAATATGTATATTTAAAAAAATCTTTATATGAATTTATGCTTGTAGATGTAGTTTATATTTTATAAAGAATGAGATGTAAAATATTTGATTTTTATAAATTCAACATGCTTTCATTATTTAATCTTTCTATAAAAGATATCGTTTTCATTTTAGATTCTTTTGTTGTTATGAATCATGATTTGAATGTTTTTCAGTCTTTATAATTTTTCAAACTTTATAAATAATATTCTGGCAATGATATTTACAGCTTATTAAATTATATAAAAATATGTGTAATGTCTTTTCTATCAGGGCGTTTCTGTAATTATATTCGTATATGCAAATTTCTATTAGATTTTGTATATATAAAGAAACATTTTAATAATAGGAGATTTTATATATTGATGTCATTAAAATATGCATACATAAAAAATATCATTTTACAAAAAGTAGAATTTACTTTATATTTAAAATTGTAATAAAGATATATCTTTAAATATTTTTTAATGATATATTTTTCATATAAGAGATACTATGAAAAATAACACAATTTGTTGTAGGGATAACGAAACCAAGAAAATAGTCATAATCTTATCAAAAGCTATTTAATAATATTTATGTAAAAAGTTTACAATTTAATTAACTATCTATAATATTAGAAAATTCTACAAATGTGGGACATAATATTAGACATAAACTCAGATAAACAAAAAATTATACAATATATACAATATATATATATATATGATACGTTTTTGAATTTTGATTTAATAATCAAATTTGATTGCATTATAATCCTTAAATGATATTGTTTTTTGAGGTATTATATTAATCAGTTGTATATCTGTTATTTGCGAAAAGTAAAATGTTTCTGCAATACCTCCTGAATAAATTGGCCGATATCCATTCAATGAGGTATACATTTGTAATTTATTTTGTCTCACTGTTATTGTATGGAGATATGATGTCTGCAAGATTTATTATAGAAAGAATTACATACATAGGAGTCGAAATTGTTATTAAATAAATATAGCAATTCCAATTTTCTAGTAAAAAAATAATTTGATTCGAATGTAATAAACATTTATATAATTTTACTACTGATGTGAAGAGTTGCGTTCAGAATCGTTGTCTGAATGCAGATGTCATTTTATCCTTGTTGTTTCTAAATATTAAACAAGAATAAAAGAACATCTGGATGCACCTAGATGATAATTCTGAACGCTGCTTAGTATTGTACTTTTTCATAAATACAAGATTTCTTTATAGGCATTTTCCACTGAGAAAATTAATGCAATACTAGTGCAACTAAGTGCAGGGCGATTTACAACATATTTTCAGTGGTAATGAATAATTTAATCCTTTTAAGATTATGAGATTACAACGAAAAATATGTAATTAAATTATTTATTAATTTAAAAAGTATTAATAAGGCTCTGTACGTATAAAACAAAGTAGTACACAAGAAGGGCAAAGAGCCAGTAATGTATACAAAAATTTTAATTTAAATAAGCAAATTCATACAAAACAATTACAATTAATAAACGTTTCGACTCCAATCGAGTCATTTTCAATGTAGTCTTAAAATATAAACTTCGTTCTAAATCAAAAATATGCATATGGTCTTACAATATTATTATAAATCTTTAATATCAAATTTTTTATTCTGTGTAGTACGTTGCGAGTCATTTTTATCAAGAATTAATGTGGTCATAAGAAAATTCTTGTCAATGATATCAGTAAATGTGTTAAAAGTCCATTGATAAAAAAAGAAAGAAACGCAGGTAGATTTTATGGTATGGTTCCATTTCATGGTACAATATAATAGTCTTTTTTATTCTATAAATTATTTTAAGCAAATTTGCAAAGGTAACAAGCATCTAACTTTCACGATGTCAAATAACGAAATGTCAAGAAGAAAAAAAAACTGGCTCTTTGACCTTCTTATGTTATTGTACTTTATTTTATTTATTAACATTGGAAAATTATGAATTGATTTGCATTTAATTGCATTCAATATGTATCAGTGTTGTATTAGTAGAAAACGCTATATATTATAGTCAGACGTACATATAAATGTACATATAATTTGTAGTTAAAAATTAATTAAATTTTTGGAAAAGTTAAAGTTATTATTCATAGAAAATTATTAAAACTGACGCGGAACAATTAATTTTTTTGTATTTAATAAGAATAAGATAGAATCGAATATAATATATTGAATGAATACGTATGTGAGTACACACCACTTTCCCTTTGCCTAAAAAATGAGCAAAATGTGATGAATAAATGCAATTGTTCCTATACTTCTTAATGTATACGTATAAATCTTTTTGGTCAAAGCGGTCCTTTAACAATCCAATTTGAAAACTGGAATTTGTTTCTTTATGTCCATCCATTTTATATTTTCCTATTTGCGTAAGATACGTGGATATACATTTGCCTATTGGTGTCTTTTCCTCGCCCATGAGATCATACTTTTTGAATTCGTGAGTATTGTTTACATTTTCTATATCACCTACTGGACCTATATTAAATTGATGAATAATATCTTTCATAAAGTTTTTGATTAATTTTTTAGGCCTTTTTTCTATGATCAGTACATCCTGTATTCCTCGAGTATCCGTGAATTTCATCTCGAACCATTGTCCGACTTTGATTCGATTACTTTTCTCCGAAATTTGATCTGTCGAAATCACGTGCTTAATATCATGCACGAAACAGCGGAGATTGTCCATTTGAAAGGGATGACATGTTATTGAAGAAGAAAATCCCGCAGTTTCGATTTGTGGTTTGTACGTTATAGTAACTTTGTTCATCTCAAACACATATTCCGGATCAAAATTTGAAACATTTGTGAAGATTCCTAAATAAAATAAACAAAAGAATTAAATAATTAAATATAAAATTTAAATAGTTAAATATCAATATCATCATCTATTGTTACAGAAATTAATCTTCGTAATTTAATATTTATGATTATCTATACTTAGATTAGTTGTAAAATTTTAATTTCTTGTACAAAAAATATATAATCTCACACATATTTATATAAAACATGTATATAAACAGTATATGTAGGCAAATAATTTAAATATTCATGTTTTCTAAAGACATGTTTTCGATAGATAGTTCTTCGAAATGTCACAAATTGACTTAATAGTTTTTTTTATTTAATTTTACATTTGTTATATAAAACACTTTAATTTAAATTTAGATACTGTTGTATTATTGTAACAAAAAATATAATGATTGTGTTTGTTGAAAAATGTTACATACAAATTTATAAATATGATATTGAACATGTGAAATTGGAAATGCGAACAGTTGTATGTATACTTTTTAACTTACCCAGAAAGAATGGAATCAAAGTAGCATTTGCTAGCATTGTGAATTATGTCCAATTCCAACATCCGTTCAGTATTACTCTACTTTCACTTATGAACTTCTTTACATCAGAACATGCTCATTATTTAACCTTTTTATAAACAATATTATTTTGTTTTCTCTTGTTTATAAACGTAATATGATTTGAACATTTTTCTTTATAGTAGACATATTCTGACAATGATATTTTCAGCTTATTGTAAAAATGTGTGCAATGCCTTCCTATCAGCGCGTTTCTGATAATGAAATATATGCAAATTTCTGTTGGATTTCTATAAAAAGAAATATATATTAACACTAAATTTTACATATTAATATCATTAAAATATCAAATGTATAATACAATGCACACAAAGATATCATATTACAGAAAGTAGAATTTATTTAAAATTGTAATAAAGATATATCTTTAAATACTTTTATTATTTTATTACAAAAATTTATTATACAATAAATAAGTTAAGTAGAGGAGTCGAAATTGTTATGCAAATATAGCAATCAAAATTTTTTCAATAAAAGATTTTAAATTATTCAGACATATTCATTTATATAAACATTATATGACTTTACTTTACATTTAAAATTGTAATGAAGATATATCTTTAAATATTTTTTAATGATATCTTTTTTATATAATAGATATTATGAAAAATAACACAATTTGTGAGGATAACGAGGCCAAGAAAAAAGTCATAATTTTATCAAAAGTCTTTAATAATTTTATGTAAAGAGTTTATATAAAATTTAATTAACTAACTAGTATCAGAAAATTCTACAAATATAAGATTCGACATAAACACAGACAAAAAATTACTATATACAGATATAGAATATACGTTTTTGAATTTAATAATCAAATTCGGTTGCATTATAATCCTTAAATGATATTGTTTTTTGAGATATTATATTAATTAACTGCATATCCATTGTTTGCGAAAAGAAAAATATTCCTTCAGTATCTGTTGACTCTTCTGACCATGCCTTTTTACTTTGGTACCCACTTATTTCAGTATACATTCGTAATTTATTTTCGATCACTTCTATTACTTGGAAATATGATGTCTGCAAAATTATCATAGAAGGAATTACATAAAGGAGAAATTACGAAATTGTTATTAATATGGCAATGCTAATTTTCTAGTAAAAATGTAATTTCATTCAAATATAATAAATATTCATATATAATTTTGCCATTGATGTGCTGTATTGCACTTTTTCATAAGTACAAGATTCTTAATCTTATAGATATTTTTTCTGAGAAAGTCATTTAATGCAACACTGATGCAAATCGATTTACATATTTTCAGTGGAAATGAATAATTTAATCCTTTTAAGATTACGTGATTATCTCGACAATAAAAAATATGTAATTATATTATTTATTAACATTGAAAAATTATAAATTATTTAATTGCATTCAATATGTATCAGTGTTGTACTACTTTTCCCAAAGGAAAACATTATATATTATAGTAAGACGTATATATATATAAATTTTGTAATTAAAAGTTAATTAAATTGATGAAAAAGTTAAAGCGTTATTTATAGAAAATTATTAAAATTGAGGTATAACGATTAATTTTTTGTATTTAATAAGAACAAGAAAGAATTAATGACGAATATCATATATTAAATGAATATTTATAT